TATATATATATAAGGAAGCAGAGAAACTTAAAGCATACGAAGACTATGACTGGAAAGAGATACAAGAAAGCGGAATGCTTAAGAAGCAGAGGGTTGCGGTCTTGAAACTCTTTTTAAAAGAAAAAAGAAAAAAAGAAAAAGAGCACAACCTTCTCAAGCGCAAAATGTACAAAAGTGAGAAAGTCCAAGTATTAAATGCTTTAGTTGTCTATGCAGCTTTTAAATACTACGACAAGTACAACAGAGGAAGAGCATGAAGAAGATGGTACTTCACGCGAGGACACTGAAGATGATGATAATTCATGTGAGGACATTAATGAGGATATTGAATATTTGGATAGCGGCGAAGAAACTGACATTGTTACTCATGAATTAGGAATTACTATACTGATAGTGAGGAAGACGATGACAGAGAAAGAAGAAGCTGAAACAGTCAATGTTACAAGAAGTGTTAGACGTGTGCAACCAAGAAAATCCTTTTGGGATTTAGATTGAAAATATAGGTAAATCTGATCAGAAAAGAATAGAAATCCTGTCCACGCCCCTACCATCCTAAATATGGGTGACCACTTAAAATGGCGGTAACCACAGAAAGCCACAGGTGTCGCATGTGACTTCCGTATCACCCCGGCCCCTCTAAATAAAGCTGCCTTACTAATGGGAACTTTTTTGTCAAAAACGAGCCTCTCAGAAGATTTAAACTAGTGCATTTTAGCACCATGATTCTACAAGGCGTAGAATATCTTTTSTCCTCGATTTAGAGCGGGGAAAAACCATTTCACTGATCGAACTTTCCCCCATCGACTTTCCCCACTAAATTCCCTTAATTTGGGCTTCCTGTGGTCCAAGTCTCTCCTCTCTTATATAAGGCCGCGAAACCCAAGCCCCTGATTTCATTTAGGAAGTTGGATAGAGGAACTGAGCTGTTAAAATCAAAGAAGCAAGACGTAAAAATTATATTTTTACCGATAAAAAATGAAGATCAAAGTAAAGATACTTAATGGACAAGAAACAGAACTAGAGGTAACAAATTATCGCTTTTTATCACGTTGAATTATAAAATATTAAAGCTAATATCTCAAGCTTAATTACAAACTGAGTTTACATCCCAAATTTTTTTTTGAAATTTAGGACACTTTATTTAAAAATAATAAAAACATCTATAGAAATTATAATTTCAATAATGTTGGAGTAAATTGAGGAAGGTTATGTTTTATTTCTTCGTAGGTATCTGAGACAGAGCCTGTATTATCTGTAAAAGCACTTGTATCTAGAGAGATGAATGTAGAAGTTGATGACCAAAGACTTGTCTATCGAGGGAAAACCCTCACGGGTGAGCGATAAAAATACTGTATGTGATGCCATTTATACTCAGACAGGAAATAGTGGATTGCTATAAGGTCAGAGAGGTATTCAGAAAATATTTCTCAATTAAATTTTGTTTTAGCTATGTGTAACCTTTAATTAATGCACACAAGTTGGACAGCTGTCAATCAAAATGTTGTCAATATAAATCCACCATTTTTCAGATGTAAAATTTTCTTAAGGGAACAAGCTAAATGTGATTAAGACAGCTCTAACGAGATATCTTGTTCTTGCAGTAACTTTTTTGTTTAAGTGAGGGGCTTTTGTTATCGCAAAATAACTTTGTTTCTCAAACGAACCTTTTTTAAATTAATGTTAATATATGTGAGGGACCACTGTAATTGGCACACGCTGTAGTGGTTTCCCAGCCATTATGTATGTATGTAATTTTTCTTGTGAGTGCGTGTTTGTATGTGTGAGTGGGTTCATGTGTGGGTGTTTGAATGGCGAAGCTAAATAAATAAATAAATCCCTAGTCAAATAAAAATGCATATGGATACATACAAGAAAAGATACATCAATTTCCGAGAACTATAACAGCACAGGTTGAACATCTTGATTTTTGGAAGATCAGACAAGATCTCTCTTGCACAAAATCTTTGGTGATCTTGGTGATTCTCAAAGGACTTTGCCAGGATCATGTTGAAAGCATTATTTCCAACCATCAGTTTAATGGGAAAGGTGTCACTGAGGAGACATAGTGGCTAGAGCACTTGCCTCCTAYGAATGCGACCTGGGTTCGATTACAGGATTCAAGCTCAGAAATGTATGTGAGCAGAGCTTCTTGATGCTTCTCTCCTGTGCTTCAAGGGTCTTTCTTTGGGTTCCCTGCTTTTTCTCCCTCCACAAAAATCAATTTCTAAATTCCAATTTGATCAAGGAACGAGGGACACAGGTTTGTTAGCCACTCAGGGTAGAAAAGCTATCCAAGTAAAGACAAAGACAAGGGAGTATTACTGCTTTTCTGCTCCTATGGGATCCACATAAAATCCAGATATCTAGCTTTTTAGCTTCAGTCAATCAAAAGATTCTGAACTCATTTGTACATACCTGGGTCACATAACTCAAGAAGCTCTCTAACTTTGTTAAATATGACATATTTATTATTTCTTAACTTCAGATAATTGTTGCTTACATGATTACGAGGTTACTGATGGAGCAAAGCTACACTTGTTTGTCAAGAAGTCATCTGAAGTTTCTGAATTAAGAGCAAAATGTTCCAAGACAGATTTTTGGTTGAATTTACGGACATTATTAAAAAGCCATTTCAGCGATGCAGATGCTGAAAAAGTACTACAGAAGTCTAGAGAGGTATGTGTGGGAAGCACAGGTAAAGGTGTACTTCTAATGTGCCACCTATTAGCAGCCACTGCTCATATAAGGTGGTTGAGATTTAAACTTTAGGAAAGCACGGTGATGTTTGCTGCTAATGTGCTGTCTCTCACCAGGTTCAGTGTCATATGTGGCAGCCTTATTTCATGATCAAATCAATATTATTTAGAAGTTAGTTTTTTTTTGTATAAGGAGGAAAACGTGAAGACCCACAGAAAAATAAAAAAATCCTCAAAGCATGAGATACTTGTAATAAACAAGCCAATTTACATACCTAGTGAGATAGATAATATTATGATAATGACTACCTTTGGAACCAACTTGGACTGCGTTGGTGTTTTTTAGTTGAAACAAATGTGTCGTAGTGGATAATTTTATCACCGTAGGTGCGAAAGATAATAGACTGACGTTTCGGACGTTAGTCCTTCGTTGGAGTCAATTTAGGTAATATTATGTTTATTTGGGGAATCAATCTAGAAATGAGTCTCTTAAGGCGTCTTAGATTGAAAAAAAGACTCAACTGATTAATACTGTAAAAAAGACTCAATAATTCTTATCTTAATATTTATACTTTTTTTTCTGTTTCAGGATTTTAATAGTTGGATGGCTCAATTAAGTCTCGATGACATTGAAAGAATGGCTCAAGTACACATGGAAGAGCAATCACCAGGGATATAAAATGATGAACCATTTAACTTTCTTATTTAAAATTATTATAATAAATTATAGAATTATCCAGTGTCCCTGAAGATAATCAGGAATTAATGGAATACTTTTATATAGTTAAGGAGACATTTATGCTATATTGCTTTTATTATGCATTGTGTAGTTCCAGAAATTATCCATACAAACAACAACAACAACAACAATAATTTATTTGGCACTGTATACTAGAAGTACATAGGTGTTTTTTCCCCAAATAATCAAAAAAGATAAAAAGATATTTTTTCAATTTCTAAAGTTGCAATAAAATACAATTGATGTACATTTGATGTATTTTAAATAATTTGTYGTAATTCAAGCTTTCCAGCTATTTTGTCTGCGGCAACATTGCCCATCTTCTTGGCTTTTGTATAATTATGTATTTTGGTACAATTTTTTGGATTTTTTTATTCAGGTTGATAAGAAAATGGAATTTGTTGTTTTCACTTAAGAGTTCCAATTGTTTGTTTGTAATTGTGTCAATTTTTTGTAGTAATTTTTTTCATTTGTTTGAGTAGTAGGGACATTTCAAGAGAAAGTGTTTTTCATCTTCAACTTCTTGTTCACATAAAGGACATTATTTTTAAACAGAAATTTTGTAAAAACCCAACCTACCCCCCAGAAATTTCAATTTTCTTCCATACAAACTCTGTAATTTTTTTTGTTTTTCAGACCCCCCTACCCTTGGAAAATTCAAAATTCCTCAGTGGGGAGGGTATGGATAATTTCTGGACCTACACATTGCAATATTCTGTTCCTCTTGTGGCATATTTAAGAAATAAAAAGTACAACTTTTGCAAAGCTCTCTAAGCCTTTTATTGGAAAATCCTATCATACAGTGTACACTAGTCTTCTACGCGGAGGAAGAGGACATGTGAGGGTCCGATGGAACCAAAACTAATGACGGCCGAGGAGGAAACTAATAACTGTACTCATGTTGTAGTATATATATATAGTAAACAGAGCAGTGAACAAATTAATCTGTTTATTCTTACACCGCTTTGCAAAGATGTAAGATGATATAAATGACATAGGCRATGTTTCTTTTATAATTAGAGAATAGCAATCTATAAAAGATAAAGATAATGTTGTAAAAATAATTAATATTTTGCTAACACATTTTTGTCCAAAAAGTTGAACAAAAAATGCAGCATTTTATCTGGTCTCCTTACACAGCCACTATCGGTGTCATCACACAGCGCTCACTCTCATAAGTAGCTACTTAGGCGAGTGAGCGTTGTGATACAACACTAATAGCGACTGCGTTGGAGACTAACTAGATCTAGCACATTTATGGTCATTAAAACCATTTGAATATTCTTGATAAGGTTTTCAAAAATAAAATTTTTATTTCGATTGATGGAATTATTGCTTGTATATTTTGTTGAAATAATATGGTAGTTTTTAAATCATATATTTTTCATTTAAAATATTAAATCCTTGATAGCTTACATGTGCTACTTTCCTTTATGGGATATATCAATAGAAAAAAGACCGCCAGAAAGACAAAAACTTTGAAAAACATTAATCACATAAAAAAGAAAGAATTACAAAATGAAAAGGAAAAAAGGGAGAAAAGAAAAAAATTAAAATAAATAAAATACTCCAACCTCCCCYTCCCTCCTTGTCATCAGACCTCCTTGTCATCAGAGAATGTATCAGGATTCAAAGAAAAAACTCGGGAGAACGTTTCCTACTTTTTTCGAGTAAAAGAAAAGAGAGAAAAATAAAGAAGGAATTCGAAAAAAGTAAAGGGAAAAATGCATTTTCCTTCTACCCTCCCCTCTCATGTTACCAAATGCTTTTTTCTAGTTTTTCCRTTAAACTTGACTGCTTTACTAGTAGAGCAAAAAAAATTTTGCATCGGGCTGGTTTGAGAGTAAAAGGAATTTATTCATATCTTTTTGTTTTAATGGACCATTGCGAATGGTAAATACTCGACAAGAATGACAAGAATGCATTGAAAATGTGTCAATAAAGTACGTCCGAAGACAGGTGACGCAGTACTTCACACACTTGAAAATACTTCAATCGCTTCAGGCCCATTTTCTACCTAATTTTCCAAACTTCACACTTAAGATAGCATTAATGATACTTTTCCTCTTCAAAWATATGACCTCTTTAAAATATTACATTCTCATTCTTAAGATTTAATGTATTCTTTTCAATTCGCTTGAAAGCGAATTTCGCCTCCGGCCTGACCATTATCGTCTGAACTGATAAATAATTAATTGCCCTAAAACACGGAATGCCAAGTTTCGATGATTTAAAATGATATATTTGACCTATATTTTCATATAAATAGTAYATTAGAACTATGAACAATTATTTTGCAAAATAAATTAAGAATGATCGATAAAATGAGCTATAATAACGAATCCGAAAAATTAAATTATTCCATCATTCGATTATTCGATCGTTCGCGGTGAAAACAAAGAAAGCCCGATATATGTAAAACTGTATTACTTACAAGGATTCTGATTGGTTAGTATTGGAAKGTTAGGATATATCGAGTGTTGTGATTGGTTGTTTGAGTGATGGGGATGGTTTGATTGACAGGTGTGGCAAGGCTTGTGGTTTGGTAGAGCAGCTTGTTTGTGAGTGGTGAAGAAGAAAGAGCAAACAGCCAGTCGCGTTCGTTCTCCAACTCGCGTTTTCGTTGGCTCTTTCAACTCAAACGAAACACCGGTCAGCCAACAAAAAAACGAGAAAGGTTTGTTTTACCTTCACGCCCTCCACCAATAATATCTAAGCTTTTGAGAWTCACTTCTTTTTGCTTTTTTCGAGCGGGCTTTTTCGATGCATTTGAAGCATTTGGTTACTAGTTTCAGCGAGCGAAAATACCTTCTCCTGATTTCGCTCGTTCCTTATCGTAAAAGTCGGCCGAGTCAATGTTTTCCATGTCCTAATTGCTCTCTTATTGAACTTTCAAACTGCTAAAAGTGTTTACAAAGATTAAATGCTATAATTCTTTGGTTTTTTCCTTTCTAAAATGATCAGGTTAGAAGAGCTTTTGAGTCAAACTTATGGAATCAGTGGAGGACCAAGCGAGGACCGAAACCGAAGGGTTGAGTTCTCAAACCGGTCAAGAAGCGACTACACAGTCAAATTTCCCGCAAAATGTCCCTCACTATACACAAGCGGCAGCTACAGTTCCCAACGGTAACGAAGTAGTAGGAATAGCTACAGTTGGTCAAACTATCGAAACTCCGCAAGACCAAGGCGAAGGAATGAGCGAAGATGTAACCCAAACTGGACTTGGAATCCCGAATGTTTCTGGGGTGCAAGTTGCTGTTGCTGTGTCTTCAGCTGATGGCGTTAGTGTAGTTGCTGGGAGCCTAGCTAATGCTGGGGCTGCTGTCGAAAGAACAGAAGATGGAGGTGGAAATATGGTGACTTCTTTACAGCCAGATTATAGTCTAGGAAGTCATTTAGGAGCTCAGAATTATGTGATGCAAGGGAGTCCTACAGATGGTGAGTACCAAGGAGTCTTTGTTTTGTTTTCTTTTGTTTGATATTATCGTTCTTAATGTCATTTGATTCCATAGTTAACTATTAAATAATTTTTTWAAATAATATTGTCTAGACATCAAAGTTAAAAATCATCCAAAAGCCATACATTAAAATTGTTATCCCATGCAAAGAAAGCCTAAGTTTTAAGCTTTTATTTATTTTTGTTCTGAAATTTATATTAAAAACTTATTCAAATTCTACCGGAAAATTCATCTCAGTGTCCAAATACACAGCTGGCGTTCTCTTATATTTCATTTTAACTTTCAAATTATTATATTATTATTTCTCCTTGTTTACATTGATAAAATGGAGGAAAATTTATCTTGCTATTAAGTCTGTGCTGATTGGCTGAAATTTTCTCCATTTCATTCACAAGTTAGTGTTGTTGGTGGTGATTTTTGGACTGCACTCTTCATTCTTGTGTAACCATTAGTATCTTGATATTATACCGTTGTATACCGCCTGGTTGTACAAAGGGTGGATACCTGTAGCGCTATTCAACGGATAAATATTGGATCCAGTGGATGAATCTATTGGATAATATGCATTGTATTATCCACTAGATAAGGATTTATCCATCAGATAGTGCTAATTCAACCTTTGTACAACCGTGCCCAGAAATGTACTTAAGAATATTTACAAGTCTTTTGGGCAGAGGTAGTTTGAGATACCTTTCTTACTGACCTAGTCTGTTAGACATCAGTTAAATGATCCCACATAGAGATTGGTTTGTTCCACCATATCACATGGGAAGGTTGTAAAATGCTAGTAAGTCATTGGGTAGAGTCTGTCTATAAACACCTGTCACACATCAGTAAAATGATCCCACATACAGGATGTATGTGTTCTACTAAGTCGTTAGGTAAAATGATCCTGCAAAAGGAAAGATATGTTCCTCTGTATCAATGAAAGTCTGTGAAAGTTATGATATGATTCCAAGTTATTGGGAAGGTGTATCTTATAAACATATGTACAGGCATCAGCACAGGCAGTGCTTATCATGCAGTGGTCTGAAATGAGAAAACATTATGCCAGAGCTAAGGAGGTTTATTGATTGCAAACATATAATCTAGAAGCACCTGTACTGGATATGGTGGTCAGACATCAGTAGTGATCTTTGCTTAGAGAACAATATAGGATATGTTGACTTCCTCTTTATTTATTTATATGAGTCTAATGAGTAAGAAAGCTATAAAATGATTGCAAAACATGATGTATAGGAGTACTGTAATTTATAAACATCTGTACAAGATATCCCCATCAGAAGTGAAAATGCCAACGAGAAGAGTATAGGATATTAAATATATAATTTATTTAAGTACAGTGATTTCATCTTGCTGTTAAGTCGATATCTATCTAATTGAGATAAGTAAGCACTAATTCAGTTGTTTTTATTAAACTATTGGACTGTGATATTATTTTATGGAATTACTCTTTTAACCTTCAGCTTTTTCAATATTTTGACACTGTAGTCTAGGATCTTATTTCATGAATCTGTGAAAGGTATATTTAGAATTGGAATCRTAAGCAACATACACAGACTCAGTATTATTACATTTATCACCTAGGTGTGAAAAAGACAAGCACTGTTAATGAGCATTACACTACTGAGTCTGAGTATGTTGCTTCCAATTATGATACTAGTGTGAACGAGGCCTATAGTTTTAACTTCTCTCTTGTGCTCCAAGTCTGGTTTTTATCAGTACTTCAATAAACAATTAAGAATTTCTAAATTCCAATCCTAAAAAAAATATAGTTTTCATTGATGAAAGTGATGTGAATGATATGGGCATGACTGTAGGCTCATCTGTATGAACAGCTTGATAATGATAAATATCCATGACTCATTGTGGTCTTATACTGTATATGATGCAATGTCTGTTCAATTGATGTGTAGACAATATGTAATAGCTTTCTTGTAGACTAGCATCAGTGAGCCTGATTTAATTGTTGAATTGTTTTTTAGAATAAAATAATAATAATAATTGGCATTGAGGCTGTCAAGTTTTACAGAAAGAAAAAAAGCCTGATATTATTAGTCAAATTCCTTGAATCAACGGATAGTTTCATCAAACTCTGCTTGTGTGATGCAGAGTCCATAAATCAAAACCTAGACATCATCATCTGGCTCTACTGAGCTTAACACAATGCTATAAAATAATGGCTGGTGACTGGCCAAATTAGTTTTAGCTGGGTCATACCTCATTTCTGGCTCAACTTTACTGGTCAAAATGACCGGTAAGGCAAAGATTTGACCGGACAAGTTCCAATTCTTAGTTGATGTTGTTTGATGTCTGTACGTTATTTCTTAAGCCCTGCTACATCATCTCCCTTGATTCCTGGTTGAAACATCATGGTGTTTTGTTACAAACGAACCTAATAATATCAATCTTACTTTTAATTTCCTTGAGTGTGTTGTCCTACTGCCTCAAAGGTATCATCACCTATCATGGTAGCTTGTGTGTCCCTATAATAACTAGAGCTATGTCCACTGCAGTCTTGCACTCCTGTTAGGGCCACCCATGACAGGTTGAAGAAAAGAGACCAGAAAAAGGTGGAGTTTGTACATTCATGTAACAATGTACAAACTCTGCCTATCAAAACATCAAAGTGAAGTGCTAATACCTAATAGGTTAGTGGTAAAGATCACAATTCAAAATTTTCAAAAAGATGTTGAAAAGAAATCAAAAACTTGTGGAAGTGTTTACTGAAACCACCATAGTGCAATAACCTTTGCACAAATACTCAGAAATAGAACTTGTTCTTGAAACATTCGTTCTTCTTTTGTCACTTTTGTTTACTTACAGTACTGTATTCGCAACCTAAAATAAGAAATATTTATTGTATGATTTCTCTGATGCTCATAAAAGATTAAAATACAGAATGATGCGAAAGATAAAGAATGAGATAAGATAGCACAAGATGTGACATACAATTATTATTTTAACCTGGGCCTCTGTGCATGGATGAATTGTTGACTGGATTCCTTTACAATTCACCTTTTCGGTGCTAGCCATCACTGGGTATAAATTGTTTTAGATTGTGTTACGGTCACCAAAAAGTTCTGACATTGTTCTCGAATTTCTGTACAAATGTATTGACTCTAAAAGAACTATTTACTTGGTTAATGTTTAGTTAGTTCTCTAAATACAAGTAAATGATCATTTTTCTAGCTTGATTGAAGCTTTTCTTACTGCTGTTAAGAGAGCTAACTAAAGAAATCTACCTAAATTTTCTCTTTAAACTCAGTGAATTTGTATGGGAATCTGAGAACAATGTCCGAACTTTTTGGTGAATGTAACACAATCCAAGCTAGCACCGAAAAGGTGAATTTATGATGCTCAAATAGATTGGAAAAATATTGGAAAGAAAAAAATGAATAAATTAAAAAATATATTTAAAAAAAAAGGTTTAATATAATTATCATGTTAATTTAATTTTTGCCTCTAAACCACAGATCTGTAAAAATGTTATCTTACTGATATTTGTTGAAATGATATGTTAAATAATTATTGTAAAAAAATTGCAGCTTTTGTCTTGAAAAATATTCAGTTTATCCCACAGTTGAACACGTTTCTTATTCACTTGCACTTACATGACAATTTTCTAAAATATTATCTGATATTATTCTCCTGTTCATAAGAAGCTCAAACCTTTGAGTTTGTAAGAAAAGAAGTAATTTCAAACTAAAATTTATTAGATTCTTCATTTTTTGATATAATATGTGTGAATGGAATTACATTCCAATCTTGACCCATATGTTGAACTTTAATTAATATTATTCTTGAGTTAGTAACATCTAATATTTGATTTGTTTTTTATATGAGCTATCACTTTAATTTAATATATACTATTGGGATAAAATAGTGAGAGCTTATAATTATTGTACTTTAAAGTCTGATAATTATATGAATAGAATCTATCACAAATCAAAGTTTCAATCCTATTAGTTTTTACTTTACTGTCGTGTAATATCGCTAACAAGGAGACAATCTTTTTAGCCCTGGTAATCAAACATTAATCATCTCAAGGTGTTCCAGCTGCTTGGATCATTTTCCTTGTTTACTTCCCATGTATTTTCTAAAATTTTGTCATTTTTTTGTCCTTAAAATATTTGAAAAGGACATAACTTTCAAATTAAACCAAGCCCAAATGTTTTTGTCTGTTATTATGATAAGAATTTTTTTCGGAAAGAAATTCTTTTCATTGCATCGTAAACATGGATTTATTTTTCTCGTGTTAGTTTATAAATATTTTATTACAATACTCTATTGGGCTTTACCCTCTCGTTAATTATTAATCCATACTTTTGTTCCTCAAGATATATTATAACAAACCTTCTGCTCGATGGAACTGTAACATGGACATTTTCTTTATTTTTAGGTGTTTTTATTGTCTCAAACAAACATCCCACATTTTATATCTTAAGAATTCTTTTTTGGTGTTCTTACAAAAGAAACAAGCTCTTGAATTTAGAGACCTTGTGTATTTTTGTCAGTTTTTTTGAGATTCTGTCACCGTAAATAATAGAGTATGGTCTACAAGGAGATAGAAAAGATACATTGTTATCTAGTAAATTGACAGTAAATCAACCAATCAAACTGCCATAGTATTATCTGCTAGATAATTTTTATCTTCTTATGAATAGCATAACAAGAATCTGCAGGACTTAATTAGCTAATTAGAAGCCAGTGATTAGATCATCCTGTTTGATCCAGAGCTTCAATACATGTACTGTCTAAAATCATGAATATGAACATGGGGTACAACCCTACATTCAATCCTGGATTAAGCTACGAGCCTGCATTTTTTGGACCTTACAACCACCTACCATACACTAAAGGTTTGTCTTCATTCTGTGTCATAATGATTCCAGCTTGCATGATCAATGCTATTATATTAAGCTACAACATGAAGATTAAAAGAAGGTGGATTGGTTCTCTAGTGATTGGCTGTTGATCTAGGCCACCAATAATCCATAGAAAGTTTTGCTGACTTCCAATCATTTTTAATAGAGTTTATATTGTAAGAAGACATTCTATAAACTAGCAGAAATTGACTGCCCAATGGTAAAATCAATGCACTACTTTGGCAATCAGTGGCTCTACGATTAATGTGATGTCCAACTGATGTTGATGATGCTCTCAATTTTAAGCTTTGTTCTTCAATCTATTGATTCTTATTGGAATTCTAACTAATACTATGGAATATTGTTTTCCTGTCTTATTTTTTTAACCTGTAAAAAATAGATCTTTGAGTCAGAATATTATAGATAAATACTTCGTTGCAATATTCAAATCCATCCTTTAGAAAATATTTATCAAAATGTTAACTTGATAATCTGTATTTTTTTGGAGCAAAACGATTTTAAAAAAGATAATTCAAATTAGCATACCAGTGCTCAAAAATTTTGATTTTAGTACCAAACCAATAATTTTGTGTTTATTTTAATGTATTTTGGTTCCATCACTACAAATCAAGCTTGCATTAGCTCTAAAGTAGAGTTCCAAACATACTCATGCTTTGAGTACTTTGATTCCAGTTATTATAACACTTAGGGCTTTGCTGATTATTACCCCAGGCTTTAATACTAAATATGTGACAAGAATAAACAACATTATGTTATATCTTGCATATCTTACAATGCAAACATTTATAGTGAGATATAATACTCCAACATGCTAACTCCACCAGAATATTGACATGGGAAAAGCTTGATTTAAAATTTTTTGGTCGTGATGTAAAACTACAAGAAAATTTTCTAATATTTGGCAGGTAAAGCTTCTTGTGTAATAAGACCATTTGAATGAATTTTAGATTCAAGAATTTAGAGTAGAATCAATGTTTATATGGTTATTTTATACTCTGTTTATTAGACAGTAGAGGCTGTAAAATTCAATTTGTATAGGAAATCACAAGATCTTGAGTACAATTTAGAATTTATAGGTATGAGTGATATTTTGAAAGTTTTCGAAATTGGATGTGGCTCATAGAGGAGTCCAATTTGAGAACTTTTGAAACACCATGGTTATACAAAATTCAGAATTGTCATGAAGGTCGTGCAATTTTTGGTTTATGATACGCTCAACAAAACTGAGACTCTATGGAGTACAATTTTGGATTTGATTGTACTCCTCTTGTCCAATAAGAAACAAGTAATTTTGTTTTTATCATTTATTAAAAAATACACCACTAGTCTAAACACTTCTCACAAACCTACATCACTGAAGCTCTGCCATAAGAATAAAAAATATCATTTACTTTTTCAGCACAAGTATATTCTCATTATAGTGTGACTGGTTTTTTCCTTGCTTTTTTCTTCTATTTTTCTTCCTTTTTTCCATTCTTTTTTTCTTCTTTTTTTAATTTTTTAATTTTTTAATTTTATTTCCTTTTGGTCCCCTAGTTGAATCTTCCTCCCGCTTCCATTTGTTTTGTTTCCTTTTTTTTATTTCCTTCTTTTATTTTCTGTCTGTTTCTTTTATTCTTTTGTTTATTCTTTTATTTATTCTTTGTTTTAAAACTTAATGGCTAGTTGGTTTTATATTTTGTAGAGGGACAAGACCTTGATGATGGTGAAGAAAGAGAATCAAGAGACGATGTCCTAAGAGAACAGGTACAGGAGATCCTCAAGTGATCAAATTAAAACAAAATGTAATAAGCAGACTTATTATAACACCAAGGAAAAACTAACATATTTGCTGTTTCATTTTCTGGTTTAGGACCGATTTCTTCCCATAGCAAATGTTGCTAGAATAATGAAAAAAGCAATTCCTGAAACAGGAAAGGTAAGTTTATACATATGCATGCAGCTTTCTTCTACAGTGTTCGATATTTCAATAGTAACTTATAAAATTTATATTTACTATTTAATAGTACGAAACTAATACAATGTTTATGATGCATGGAGCAGTCAGAGGATTAGGTAATTTTTAAGTAGAGGCTCTCAACGAAATGGATGGCTATGTTCTTTACTAAATTAATATTAATTTTGCATTTGATCGTGAAACAGCCAGCGATGAGAAGTGAAGTACCCGGCAATCACGCACAGATAGTTGCCCTCTATTAAAACTCTGTACACTACTAATTCATTTTATCCTCATGCATGTTTTTAATCTTTGTCTTTCATTTGTCTTTTACAGATAGCTAAAGATGCTAAAGAATGTGTTCAAGAATGTGTGTCAGAGTTTATTAGTTTCATAACTAGCGAGTATCCTTTATTTAACTTTGAAATAATGTGGGAGGACTTTGCAACTGACTTGTAAAAAATATCAAAACTGTGACCCAAGAGGTGAGGGGAGAACGCACTACTGCTATGCTGCATTTAATTCCCTTGCAAAATATACATGATTGTATTAATTCTGTTACTAGCAGAAGCAGTGATATGAAAGCAGTAGAGCTGAAGTGATGTACAGTCTGTTTCTATTGTGGAATTTTCCTTAACAGCTTTGTTTCAGAGCAAGTGAAAGATGTCACCAAGAAAAGAGGAAAACTATAAATGGAGAAGATATTCTGTTTGCCATGCAAACTTTAGGATTTGATAACTATGTTGAACCCCTTAAGTTGTACCTGCAAAAGTATAGAGAGGTTAGTTCAGTATATAGAGCAGAGTGTGAGTGGCTGAAAAATTATGGAACAAAATATAATCCAAATTAAGATCACATAATCTCGAGTACAATTTCGTATTGTGTAGTTCCAGAAATTATCCATACCTTCCCCACCTCCCCCTCCCCTCCCCCCCCCCCCTCCCACAGAGGAATTTGGAATTTTCAAGGGGTAGGTGGGTCAGAGAAAGAGCAAAATTACAGAGTTTGTATGGAAGAAATTTGGAATTTCTGGGGGTAGGGGGTATGGATAATTCTTGGAATTACACATTCATAGGTACTAGTGATGTTTTGAAAGTTTTCAAAATTAAGAACAATTTGAGAACTTTCAAAACATCACAAGTTATCTATAAATTCCAAATTGTACGAGAAGATTGTGCAATTTTTGGCAACTTAATTGGGACTCTACAGAGTACAATTTGGGATTCAATACTCCTCTTGTCCAATCAGAATCGAATAATTTTGTTGAGTGTATTTATATAAAAATCTAATATCTGTGAACATCTAATATGACGTGCCATGATCATGATGGTGTCACTTCCTAATCTGAATGGTTGTTCAATAACCTCGTCTTTTGTGATTGTTGTTAGTAGTGTTTTGTAGCTTTGTAAGACATATTATTCACTTGATATGGTAATTCTTTTTCAGTCTATAAAAGGAGAGAAATCTTCTATGCCTAATACAGGAGAAGGTAGAGAAGACATGGAAGATGGGGATCATGATTTACAATCCACCTTTCAAGTTTGTATGTACTAGAAACATGTAGAACTAACAAAAGATTATATAGAATAATTTATCTTTGTTTTGTCACTAGCTGAAAGGTGAGCTCTGGTTGTAATTCACCCACCGGTACAGTATCCTAAAAATCATGCATTCTAATTGGCTGCGCAGGTGGGGGGTATTTTTTATCTCTGCCCACAGTTTGATATCCTGACGTAAGGCTTACATCTTCCAAGCCACACATGAGAAAACAGATTGTTAAATAACAAAACAGACTGCAAAACAAGTAAAATTGGGGGGGGGGGGAATAAGTTATTTACTTCCTTACGTCCAGACAAAAAAAAAACTGTGCCCTCGGTCTTGAAAGCGGACCTAGGTCCCTAACAACCCTATATAACGTCCATATATTCAAGATTTCAGGCACAGTTTTTCTCTTTCTGGAACGACTTTAGGCTGGCGAATAACATTTATATCCCTCTAATATGTTAGAGATAAGGGAGTGAACCTTTATTTGCACAGTCTTCAGATTACCCCTGCGACGGTCCTATATTACATGAAATATAACCCAAAAGATTTATTCCTAAACTCAGCATCTTGCAACAATTCATTTTCAAGGTCTCAAAGTCTTGAGCAGTTAATGTTAGCTAATTCGTTATTGCTTTATTTGCAGCCCATATTCATGCTTCTATGATACCTGCAGATCAAACACCAACAACAATCTATACCCAAGCCTACCAGCCTACAGTAAGACTATTAGTTAATGTCTAAATGAATGAAATAATTTTGCAGCAATAATTTCCATCATCAATAACATCATATTACACTATCACTTATATTACATATACTGTGTAATAAACTCGCAGGAGTGTTTTATCAGAAGTGTTTAAAAATACAAGGCATAGGCGAGTGTTTTTAGACCTGATAAAACGCGATCTGCGAGTTTATAAAACGACTTAAAAAACTCATGATGTATGTTYTCATATTGTACCGAATTCTTTACGAAGTGAACCAAGTTTGATAGGGAAAATCCAAGTTAAAGTTTATGCATAAATGAAGACGAATCTACAGTATATCAGATATAAAACCTCCTTCATGGTCATGATTTCTATTGTTTGTTGAGTTTTTTAAATACTATATTATCATCATCATCTTTATCATCATCACCCTATAACATCGACTAACTGTCTTCATGTTTGTTACCATTTCCAGATGCAGCAACCTATGCCATTCCAGTAACAAGATTCAAATATTGAGGCCAGCATTTATTCTGTATATAATTTTTAAGTGTGCTAAAGCAATCTTTTATACATATATTGTATATTCTCAAGCATAAAACAGGCATGGCCAGTCGTAATCAACTGACAAGGCTTGGGTTGCCTGTGGAACGGAGGCACTCTAGAATTGGAGAAGATTAATTTATTCTCCCATTCACTGCTCTCTGAAAAAAGAACTCAAACAGAGAAAAAGAAAGAGAGAGAGAGAGAGAGAGCTATTCACTCGCATTATGCATATCGTCATCTACAAAATCAAGTAGAGGATTGAAGTGAGCTTAGTAAGAGTTATCTGGTTAGTCAAAAAGTGAAATTAATCCTTGTTTTGTCAATTGCCCTATTTCACTATGACGTCACATCAAAATAATTGTTTAAACGCAAAGGATCATGGTCGTCGGAGGGGGTCAAATCAACGCAAATTCACCGAAAATTGTTCTAAAACCCGTATCAATCTACGAAGAGAAGTAGAATAGCCAGCAAACTCTCAGAAAAAATTTTAGTACTTATTAACACATATTATATCTGAAAACCAGGCCATTTTAGATTAAACTGTTTCGCTAGGAGCAAATTTTGTTGAATTTTCTATTGGATTTGGCGATTCTATCCCCCACATAAACAAGCAGTGACGTCATAGTGAAATAGGACAATTTACATACTCATTTCCCAGGATCAACTTGAACAGTAGCAGTAGTAGTTATTCATATAATAGTACAATATATATGTACACGAAAAGTAGCTCCTGACGATAATCCACTGATATATATACACTACACTAATTATTATCAACTATTTTGGCTTTGCAGTCATTCATTCCCTGCAATGCTATGAAACTCGGTATTTAAAACTATTGAAGTTTATATTTCAATACTCGAGTCTGGATACTTAGCTATAGGACGTAGTCCTTGATTCTATCTTTACTGGAAATCCTGTCATTTATCTGTCTATTATATCTGCTTGTAAAGGGTGTAGTTGGTGATAGAGTTAATGGGCCATTTAATTCTTGCTCACGTATTTTTATTTCAGCATGTATTTATTATGTCCTTCCCCACATTATTTTGAATCCAGCCAAGCAAACCTCACGCACTTCTCAAAGCTTCGTTGCTAAAATCCATTTCCTTACAAAATGGTATTATTACAATAGAGGTTTTGCAATAGAATCCCTTTATATATACTTTCAAAAATTGAATTCTTTCTCGTGTAAAACGATTCAGCGTTCCTGGCATCCAACATGGTTACTCTCACGTGATGGTACTAAACCTTTATTCGTTGATTCTGTTCCCTTAACATCTCCTTGATTGCATGTAATACCTTTGAATAATATTCTAATAATATCGGGACATCTTCGACATAAAAAGTATGTGCATATAAATTATTAGCTATTATTAGAAAGCCCAGCATGTATTTACAAGTATCAATATTATATAATTTGTAAAAGAAGAGTATACACCCTAGCGAAGGAGTGATCATTACTTAACGAGTGTCAGATGTACATCATCAAAAATATTTTAAAGCCGCATTAAACTTTCCATTAAGCTCGGGATACTGTTGTAGTCCGGCTGTTAACGTCAAAAATTGTTCACTTTAATGATAAAAGCATGAAACTTGGCATGATTGCTAACCTCCCTGGGACTAACATTTCTGGATATGGGGCCAAGCGAAATTGAGTAAATACGAAACAGGGTTTACTAATCAAGTCGTACAGATCGATCACTCGCATTGAAAGCAATGGGGATTTCTTGTTGCTTAGAGTGGTTTTTATAAACCCGTGATGTAATGTTCCAAATACGAGTTGCTGTATTCTATTGGGGTTTCAAAATCCTCGTGGAATTTCAATCCTCTTTTTGTTATGTTTGTTTTTATTTCAAAGTCCGAGTAGTAGGACTTACTTGAAATATTTCAAACTACTGGAACTTTGAAATGGGTGTGGTCGTATTTGATGGGGGTTTCAAACTACTGCACGTGGAACAAATAAGAAACCGTGGTTGGTCGATGAGCTCATGAATAATTAATGATATAAGATATACACTTTAGCTTTGTTGTGGAATGTGACGGTCCGGGTGAGTGTAGTCTTGAGAAAGACTGTTGTTGGTGGTGACGGACGTTTCGACAACACTTTGTTTCACGGGTTTATGAAAACCACTCTATAATTTAGAGGATCTTGATTTTATGGAGGGAGGAGAACAAGAGACCCGGAGGAAAACGCGAGACCTGGAGGAGAACCCTCGAATGAATGCGGAAACCCAACAAACTCGGAGTTCTGGAATCCAACAGCAATAAGATAACGTTGATACAGCTATTTCTAAAAAGGGTGAATATCGCATATTGAATAGTGCATTCCAAGACCAAAGTGCATTGTGGGTCATAGTGACATTGCCTATTTTTCTATTTTTAGTGTATTCCATCTGAAACAATATACTAACTACATGTAGAGTTAATTGCTGTATATTTACTTTAGGAATGCACTATTCTGTATGCACTATTCAGTATTCAACCTTTTTTTAAATAGCTGTATACTTTCATTTAATTGCACATCAAATGCTTACATCTTTTCGTAAGACATAACCAAGCCTTATCATTCTTTCAAGAGCTTTTCTAGTTCTCTGGTTTATTACAGTTGTTCAAAATYAAACCATTCAGTTTACTTTCCATTTTGTCAGGAAATTTTCATTTATGACTCTAGTAAACTTTGCAAAGTTTTAATATGTCTTTAATACGTTTTCGATATAACGACACTTTTAGCTGATTTTCAGATAATTCTGACAAATAAGATTTACTTGATCTATCAGGTTTTCATAGCAAAATTTCAACTATGACTCTTTTATTGATTTACTAAAGTAGGACCATACTTCCAGACATCGAGTGCTGAACCGTCGTATGGCAGCGCAAAGCATTTACGGCTACGCCGGAGATTTCGACCCCGACACCGCTATCCCTGGATTTACAAACTGATCAGGAAGCTCGGCCGAAGCCTAAGGGAGAGGTTAGTCGGCCCCTAGACCATGGATGATTAACCCCTTGCTATGACCAGCAGACCCAAAGTATCGATTCTGTTACTGATGGCTAAATACTCATTTTCATTCCTTTCCATGTGGGATGCATTTTGGGCATCGTACGCGCCATGACATTTATTTGGTGTAAGAGTAAATGGTGTAAATAGGTTAAAATTGAGGTCTCTCGTTAGCTTTTGATCATAAAAAGAGCTATTAAAAGCCATAAGTACTTAGAGGCGTAAAAAAAACTAAAATTAATTTAAAGAGGGTATTGGGAGCAAGTCAGTGCGTCGCGCATAAATTATCATTGGCTGTAAACTTTTATCAATAACAACTCTTGGCTGATCGAATCGGACTGGAATTTGGCGTGTTTGGTTTTAGGAAGAAGTGTTAGGAGTAAGAAAAATCAGGAGGGAACGTGGAGAAAAGTTACATATTGTGACGTCAAACCTTTGTATGAAAATCTCGGCGAGGGATGCAGGCAATGTCTTCTTTGGGTGTCGACCAAAACACCAAAAACGTACCTTGCCCGGCTTTCCACTGATTAGATTTCCCGAGTGCGCTCCAGTTTCAGTTGAAGCAAGTTAAATTCCTTGTAGAAAAGCAGGTCACAAACAAGGAAACACAACACCCTGCACAAGTCAATAAATCCATAGCGCCAAACAAAAGCTTTACCTGTAGTATATGAATCATTTATACTAAAAAAAATGAAGGTAGCCATGAGATCCTCTGAACAGCCATAAAAGACGATCTCTTTGTTTTTAGAGATCAATTTATAAGAGCAAGGATCTACTACATCTGCGTCTTAATAATCGAGGATATAAGCAATCCATACTGAGGTAGTTGATAACTAATGTCTTTATATAGTTAAGTTATTTGTTTTATTTAACTCTTGATTTTAGTCTAGTAGCAAAAGCGGGTTATTTGGTCGAAACAATGAATTGTCAAAATATTATTGAAAACAAACAATCGACTAGATCTACGTTAGTGTTGAAACTTGGTCTCGAAAAAAAATACGGAAAAAGGTGGAAGGATTTTTTGTAGGAATTTTTTAAAATACGTTTTGATAGACTAACCCAAACAGACAATCAGTAGCTAGTTCACATCGAAAACAGCGCCATTCAAATTCCAATTACCGCATCCAATATTCGCGTGTAAGTTATGTAATGTAAAACAAGAGCTTATAAATATGTTTCAGGAAGTTCCAGCTTAAAAACCAGCAAACTGCGCAATGAAAACAAAGCTAAAAAAATATTTTTTGAAACATCCAAAATATATCTGTTTACTAATTCTTATCCATCGTGAATTTTCTTCTTCTTATTTAGTTGTCGTTCGGTAAACGCTTTTGTTGACGTCCTCCACAACTTAAGCAAATCCTAATAACTTGAGCTCCTATTCAGTTTTGACAGTTTTTGAAACTTAAACATTTAAATGCTGAGCAAAGCCATTCAACGTAGAAGTACATGGTTTTATACTTACAACTGCTTCATGTTATATTGCTCGGCTTTATTTCCCATTTTAGCCCTTCCAGCTTGAATCAAAGACATGTGCTGGAGTGTTTTGCTGCTGATAACCGCCGTCGTAACTACGACTGAAGGTAATCGCATGTATTAAAACCTAACTATATCTCTACTACGAACTTAACGCAAATGTAGTTAAAAATAAATACTCCAGTTTCGTGTTCTCTGTTGTTCAGGGTTAGCCTCGATTTTGTTTACAATATTCATGCGTTCCCATGAAGGTCCGTGGAATTTCAAAGTGTTTTTATTGTTGAAGTTGTGTATTTTTTACTTTACGGTTGGTATTTGTGAATATTTAAACACTGAAATGAGGCTAAGCCTGAATAAATGAGTTAACAGATCCAAAACAGTTTTCCGTGTTTGATACTCTGATCAAAACACGCGGGCTGTTGAGAGAACACGAGAGGAGCGTAGGAAACCACGACGCGTAGCGGAATGGTTTCCAGCTTCTCGAGTGTTCTCCCAACATCCCAAGTGTTTTGATCAGAGTATCAAACTTTTTTGGATTTGTTTTATGAAATAACAAACGCGCGAAAAGATCGAAAAAAAGCAAAGTCTAAGTAATTTGTATTATAAAATAATTGGGATACTACGCGTCGTGGTTTCCTACGCTCCTCTCGTGTTCTCTCRACATCGCGCGTGTTTTGATCAGAGTATCAAAGACGGAAAACTGTTTTTGATCTGTTAAATCAAGGAACACGGCAGTAATTTGGAACTCGAAAATCGGGTCTTATATTGACAGTAAAATCTTAAGAAGAGTTTCAGTAAAGTTTCATTATTCATTTTATCTCACCCATCCATCCATCCCATCCCATCCAATCTCGTCCATCTATTCATTTATTCTTTTATTCATTCATGATCACTGTACTCATTCAATTGAAAACGGTTTGTTAATGTTCAAATGTGCGTGCCTACGTTTAAAGTCAATGTCTTGTTTGTAAGCTACCCATGTCATTCACAAGTCGACGAAAACTATGTAGGAACCTTATATATCTATAACTTTGAGTTTTAGGGGAGCATGGCAGAGAAGACTTATACCAAAGCAATCCTTTAATCGATGCTGGGATAGTTACAGCTGCTATTGTARATGGCAGACCAGGCGTACGGCTAATACCAAAAGGTATTTGTAATCAGACAACTGGAGCTTGTGGTGGACCAGAGATGGATAATATCACGAGTGCTCGCAACACCTCAAGTAGATATCTAGATCAAGGTAAGAAAAATCGGAGACAGGGGTCATGTGACTTTCCGAAAGAAGGATAGCTACTACTTGATGCATAGAGGATTGTAAGGGAGGGAATAAATGTAGGGATGATAACTAAGAGCTCCACATTTTCTCGTCGCCAAACTGGATGACCAAAATTCGTTCTTCCAAGTTGGTGGAAGTGTTCGATTTTCTCGTTCTGTGAAGTCATTTTCACACTTATCGGATATTTACATACATCCATTTTTTCTCTTCATTCATTCATTC